AAACGTTGGTCATGGCAATGCTAACCACAGAAAACGTTAGTCTGAGCTACCGCTAATGTCCTAATTAGATGAGCGGAAAACAACACAGGAGAATGTTGGAGCACCCCTCACATTCCTGGATGTACTATGAATGAAAACCAGGCAGAGCCTTTGTTTGTCGTACTTGTCCTCGCTTGTCCACTCTCCAGCAGCCCCCGTCGTCGACATTGGTGGTTCATGCACCTCCCACTACACCCTCACCCCACAGACATTGGCCAGACATACACTCACGTCCTGATTGGTGCCCCCCCACCCCAAGCAATAGCTGTAGTGCTAGCAGGAATAAGGAAACAGACTCTAGGATCTTGTGTAGGTAAACTGTCTCCCTATGCTGTGATCCCTTACATGACCACTATGAATTCATTTTACCAACTTGATGTTCTTTTGTCTGTGGTCTAAAAGAAGTCATAATAATGAACGTGGATCAGAAGATGGGACAACAACAACATCTTGGTCCCTAAAGCGCTGCAGTTTGCTGCTGCTGGTAATTTTGACGCTTGTATAGAAATATTTCCACTTCCCAAACACCGTGGTAAAACACCAAAAGTGTCTACTTACTGCCAGTAAAGACTCTGTGTGAAACAGCAAAGCAGCTGCCGTCAGATCTGGTTTTTGGTTAACAAGTGTTGCCTGGTGCCGGCTGTACGGTGAACGTGTGTGAGCCGTGCTCTCAGCTGCTCTCAGCCTCGCGCAGTGTTGACTTTGAAACCGAAGACATTTGTTTCGGCATGGGGTCCTTTGACAACAAAGGACATACAAATCCACGGCCACATTTACAAGTGTTCAGATTTATAGTGTAAATAAATGATGATTTGGCCTGGTCTGTGCAGCTGAAGTGGAGATAATTAACCAGCGATAGTGTAATTTATTGTCTTTCGGTGCCTGGAACAGAAACAAAATGGGTAATACTAACAACACTTAGAAAGTTGAACAGCAACAGCCAGACTAATCAGAGCAGAAGGATCTGTCATTTGAATTCTTCTGAACTTTCTGCAACACAAACAGGAATGTGTTGCTGACAGATGAATGAGCATGGCTGCCCGGCGTCTAATAAACAGGTATTTCTAAGTGAAGCTTTGGGTTTATTTTCGTCTAATGCCTCTGCATGAAGTGGAAATCCACCTTGAAACAGCCCTTGCATGTTTTATTCCAACGGTTCCCAACAGTTGGAGTCAGATTTTCAAACGAGAGCCAGAACCTGACTGCAGGGAGACAACACTCCACCCTGAATGGTTCTGGAGAGCTTCCACTGACAGTGACCTATGGTTAACCGTGTAAGCTGATTCAGATTTCTGCTGAAGGGGGAAAAATAACACAGCTGAGGGGTTTTAAGTGCTGCCAGAGTGCCATTCACTTTCAGTGTTGGAGGACTGCAAATGTTACTGGTTCTCACTGGAAGTCATGATTACAACCGAGACATTAAATAGATGCAGGTATGTACCTTTCAGACAATATTCAGATAGCTTTAGCAGGTAGAAAATCAGCAATAAAGGCTTGGCTCCGTGTGGCCCAGCCGGGCGGAGGGGAAGAGCGTCCAGCGCACCACCAAACACAAGTCAGTCAGAAGCCGAGGGAAAACGTTCAGATGCAAGCCTGTAGGAACAACTGCTGTCGTGCTTTTCCACCAGATAACAACAGGAGGTAGAGCGGGTCGGCCAGTAATCCCAAGGTTGAGGGATTGATCCCGGCCCCCACCGGAGCATGGTAAATGGTTCATTGTCTTGCCCAAGGACACAACGGCAGCATTCTCTGATCAGAGCCGGGATCAAACCTGCAACCTTTTGATTACTGGACGACCCGCTCTACATCCTGAGCTGCTGCTGTCACAGACGGTGGCGCCTGTGTGCAGCGACCTCGCCTCTGTCAGTGCGTCTCCTCAGTGAAACGCTCTTTGGAGTCCTCGACTCTGATAGGCTGTTCAATCACCATTAACCCTCCACTGTCCTGTCAGGTGACCCCTCCAGGCTGGATAAACATGGTTGACAGTTTACCTCTTGGCAAGGGCGACGTGGTGCACTCCTAAAAAATAAATAAATAAAAAAGCACCTGGGGCTCACCTGACCCCTTTAAGGTTAAATCAGACACCTTGGTTGAATTTAAACGGATTAAAGGAAACTTAAAAGCGTCTGTTGAAACGTCATTTGAACGAATGGAAATAAAACTAGGTTTATGACGTTTGCTAACAGCTGATGTTTCTGAGGAACCACTAGAAGTTCGATGGAGAGAACCTTCTCCCGTAAACATCCAGAGACGCGTTACCGCATCTCCATCAGGTTCTTCTCAGAACTTGGAAGTTTCCTTTCTTCTGTCGCTGCTGATGAAGTAAAACACCTTTTGTTTTCTGTCCGGATTTTCACTTTAGCATGTTCCGTGTTCAAATGTTTGCTGTTCATGTTTGCAGCAACAGATGAAGTAGCTGACTTTTGACTGGCGTGACCATTTACACACACACACACACACACACACACACACACACACACACACACACACACACACACACACACACACACACACACACACACACACACACACACACACACATTCATCTGTGGTTTAGAACATTTGTAAACTATTTTCTGTACAAAAACGTGAAACTAACTTTAATCTGTTTAAAGTCTCTCGTCTGCCGATCTGCGGGTTAGGGGTTGAGACTGGATGTTTAATCTGAAATCATCTGAGATAAAAATAAAAAGCAGGACTGTTGGATATCCCGCGTTAACAACAACGGTTTTACTGAGAAGGCTCGAGTCCCTCCCAACAGCACTCCACAAACCCTCATCTAGACCTTAACTTTTACATCAGATGTTTATCTTTCTTTGCAGCATTAAAGATGTGGTTCACTCGTTTAATCAACACATTAGCAGAGGAATGAATGTCTCAGAAACCAGCAGGATGCTACATCAGAGCAGTGGCGTGTCTAGATCCATTAAAATGGGGTGGCCCAGGTGAGGCACAACTTTGTGCAGGGGTGGCACCAACAGTTACGCTTTCTTGTTTTACCCCCAAGCCTTTTGTAGACAATGAAAAGCCTATTTAAAGGTAAATTAGTGTGGTGGCACCTGGGGTGGCCAATCAGATTCCAAGGGTGGCATGTGCTACCCCAGGCTACTCCCTGGACACGCCCCTGCATCAGAGGAGAGCTGAACACGGCAATTATTTCCTGGTTTTGGGGCATCACTCCACTGATTGGCTGACAGCAACTTGACTCTACCACTGACTGTTTTCTCTACAGTCAGATATTTTGTCTCCACAAATAACACAAGCCTGGAGGAGTTCTGCTATGTGGTGGGGTTGCTAATGCTAACAGTTAGCTTCTACTAGTTCTCTGCTGTTTCCTGGACACTAAACCAACAACAGCCTTCCCCGTCGTGAGTCCAGATGGGTGAGCCCATGAATGTTAAGTTACAGTGTGACGTAGCTCTGTCAAGCTTTTCTAATCCTAGAGTTTCACCGTCTGTTTTCTATCAGAAGCTAATGCAGGAGACAGGTGTAGGAGACTATTTTCATGTTCAGCCTTCATGAAACACTCAGTGTGACCCAATAACTCAAAAATGGGATGATTATAATCATAAATAATCATTAAACATGGTTTTTTAGTGTTCCACGCCTTTAACAATGCTTCAGCAGTTCCCATGGCTTTGATAAAGCGGTCAGGCAGCACAGAAACAGCGACAATCAGCCGTTTTCACACACAGCTGACTGCTCCCTAAGGCTAGGACCGAGCAGCAGCAGTTCCCATGGCGAGTTGTTCTACTGTGGTGGAAAAGAATCAACAATCTGTAGTTTTCACAGAGCGCTGCATGTCACTGGAGCTGCTGCAGCACACATTCACAGACCCCTCCTGTCATCAGCAGTCAGCACACAGATTTCCAGGCTGATATCCTTCAGATACACTCACAAACCTCCTCCAGCTCTAGTTGGTGCGGATTCCTGTGACGCTAGGCAGACTTGCATATAACAGTATCTCTACATCTGTGCTGCATTACCCTAACACACAGCCCAAAGCCGCCTCTGAGAGAAGCCCGGTGCTCCGCGCAGCGTGGAAGGTCATTTCCCAGCTCTATAACGCACTTGAAGGAAAAGTGACATTTAGCCAGCAATCTCAGGAATGCAGCTAAAGCTCACGGGCTGAGTGGGAGCACGGCGAAGAGCAACTCTGATCTACAGGAGTCCCGTCTTCTTGAGAGGAGCTGCTGGAGTCGTTTCAGCGGTCCGGCTCTCCTCAGGAGGTGGCAGTGTTGGTCAGACTACACATCCAGACGGGTCCTCAGTGAGAAACTCACACGGACCAAACTAACACACCATTAGCATCATCCGGCTTCCTGCACCGTTAGCATTAGCTGAAGGCTGAGTTGCCCCAAAATGTTTTCAACTGGTTTTGTTTGTATTATTTAATTGCTCAAAAAGTTTGTGTATGTGAATAAGTAGAGCCATGGCTCTGTGAATGATGTAACTTGAACACCTTCAGCTTGGAAAAACAGTCCCACTGAGGCCGGGACCAAAGTGGACTAAAAGCTGAAACTTTAAGATTTCTTAAAACAGTTGATCCAAACAAATTTGTCACAAAGCGCTGATTCTGGTACGGATCTGTGACATTCGGGTTGTTGGCTGCGTGTTCGACTCGGCTTGTTCACACCTTTACATTTGAAAGCTGCTTTTACGATGAGCCGTCTGCTGCTTTGTAACCACAGAGTTCAACGTAAACCTGAAGTTCTGGGATGGAACAGACCCACGGTGGTCTGGTCCCACGTGGACCTACTCTGCTTTTACAAACTGTCATATTTGGTTGACCTCTGAACTTTACAACATCCATCTTTATGGGAATCACTACAGAGAGGAAACCTGTCTGACAATTTCACACACGCACACACTCATGTACGCATGCATATGCACGCATACACTCACACACACTGTAAGCTCTGACATGCCTTCAGGGAAAGGTCAAAGGTCAGTGCACTTACCTGATCTAAATTTGCTTCGTATCAGCACAGAATGTTCAGAGCCCAGGAGAGTCATTCTGATCCTAGTAGAGGTCCCGCATCAAAACGGTGAAGAAAACATGTAAGAAGTGACCTCTTCTGGACCGTAGACTCATGTGAGACAAACTGGTCCCTGGCTGCCTCATCAATACACACACACACACACACACACACACACAGGCTTCCTAGCTGCACAGGCTGTGCACACTCTCAACACCGGCCCTTTATCTGCTGCCTTCCTCGTCTCCCTCTCCCCTCAGCAGCTGATGTGTGAGTGTGCGGCTCTGATGGGGCTTTGGTTCTATCCAGATGAGAGTTCTGAGTGGGGCTGGGGACAACACACACAGATATGCCCACTCACGGAGGGGCCAGCCCAGGCCGGGGTTTCCTCCAAGCCCCGCCTGCTGCAGCCCAGAGGCATTTCAGGGTTTGGCTGATGACTTCTTCCTCCCCTGCCACCAGGATAAATATATCTGCCTATCAGCTCTGGCTGTCATTAGAGAGTAGAGAGGAAGACCAAGATCAGATTCAGAACAGAATTCAGCAACAGATCACATGGCTCTTGGGGGTGTGAATCAAGCTCTCGTGCATCAGTCCAGCAGTGATCCTCTCCCGAATCAGCATCTCTATGACGCGCAGTAGTCCGCTCACATTTTCAGGACATGTTATGATGCATTTGAAGGAAAACCTGTCATATTTAAAGCCACAGCAAAGTGAGCTTTCATGTCGGCCTGTTCTCCAACACTGTTAGGAAACGTCCACTTTCAATGATGCCATCCATGTGGCCGGTATCATGTTTCTCAAGGATCGCTCACATATTCCAGATCTGGGAGGAACATTTAATAAAAACATTTAGTTTACCCAAGAGGTGTCAGGATCTGCTCCTTCTCCCTCTGACTCGTCCTCGCTCTCCTCACTAAAGAGCAAAATAAACTTTTTTAGCTGATAACTAGTATAAATGAGTGTCTAATAGTGTTGTAGACATGTGTAGTTATTATTTTTGCATTTTGATGCGTTTCCTTTGAAAACTCTTAATTCTGTCTAAAAACATCAGTCTAGCGCCATCTTCGGCTCAATTCAATTCGAGTTTATTTATAAAGCACCAAATCACGACAAGTCGTCTCAAGGACCTTCACATAATAAACATTCCAGTACAGGTCAGTTCATTGAGCCAATCAGAAATAATGTTTCCTATATCAGGAACCCAGCAGGTTGCATCAAGTCACTGACTAGTGTCAGTGACTATACAGCAATCCTCATACTAAACAAGCATAAAGCGACAGTGGAGAGGAAAACTCCCTTTTAACAGGAAGAAACCTCCAGAGAATCCTGGCTCAGTATAAGCAGCCATCCTCCACGACTCACTGTTCTAAAGCCGTTTCGATTCCAGTGGGCTGTAGCGACCATAATTTAATTGCGGTAACAAGGAAAACAAAGATGCCTAAAAAAGGCCAATTATTTGTGTGCAGACGGATGTTTAAGTATTTCAATGAAGATGACTTCATAGAAGATGTGAGGAAAATAAGTTGGACACAGGTTTTAAGTGACGATGATCCATGCCAAGCAGTAGCAGTTTTCAATGAATTGTTCACAAAGGTGTTAGACAGACATGCTCCTATAAGGAAACGCGCTGTGAGAAGGGTATCTGCTCCATGGTTGGATGAAGAATTAAAAGAATATATGAGGCAGAGGGATAAACTTAAAAATGAAGCAGTAAAAACTAATAGTCCAGATAAATGGAAAGAGTATCGTAGATCACGAAACTTTGTAACTAAATTAAATAATCATAAAAAAACGGTTGTATTATCAAAAAAGACTAACTGATGCAAAATCGGATAGTGCAAGATTATGGGGTACATTGAATGAAATGATGGGTAGGCATAATAGGTCAGCTCCAACTTTTTTGGATGTAGGGGGAACTTATCTCACTAAACCAACAGAAATTGCTAATTATTTAAACCAGTTTTTAACTAATAAAATTAAGTTGTTACGAGATTCTATGGAAAATAGTCAAACCAAAAATATTTCCTATCAACTAATTAAACAAAAAATAATGTTAAATAAAAACTGCCAATTTCAATTTGATAAAGTGACTGAAGACAAGGTTAAGGAGATAATATTAAAAAGTAAAAATAAACCATCTGGCATAGATAATATTGATATAAAATGGTTAAAGTTAGTAGTAGATTTTATTTCATGTCCTATTGTTCATATAATAAATGGAAGTTTTAAAGAAGGTATTTTCCCATCTCAATGGAAAACAGCAAAAATAATACCTTTAATTAAGAACAATAGAGAACCACTGTCTGTTCAAAACAGTCGACCAATAAGTTTGCTACCAGCTTTAAGTAAAATCATGGAAAAAATTGCATATGATCAAATTCAAGATTATTTTGAGGTATATGAAATGAACACAAAATATCAACATGCTTACAAAACGAATCACTCAACCACTACTGCACATATTCAAATAACTGATTATTGCTTAGAGAATATCGATAATAATAAGCTAATTGGTTCTATATTTCTTGATTTAAGTGCGGCTTTTGATGTTTTAGATCATGATATTTTATTACAAAAACTTAAACACTATGGATTTCATACATCTGCTCTTAACTGGACTAAAAGTTATCTTACTGACAGAGAATATCAATTTTATTTCAATGGCAGTTTTTCTGAAAAGGGTCTGATGGAATGTGGTGTTCCACAGGGAAGTTGTTTGGGACCACTTTTGTTTTCTATTTTTTTGAATGATTTTCCGTGGGTGCTGCAACATGCGACTACAGCAGTATATGCAGATGATATTACTGTTTTAGCTTCAGCACATACGGAGAGTGCATTGAATGAAATATTAAATGAAGAGTTAAGAACAGTCGAGCAGTGGATAACTGCTAACAAATTAGTGATTAATGCAGGAAAAACTAAATGCATGGTAGTTGGCTCCAAACATACTTTACAGACGATGCCAAAGTTACATTTAACCCTGAGTAACAACGTAATAGAACAACTAGAAGAAGTAAAATTACTAGGAGTTATAGTTGATTGTAAATTATCATGGACAAGCCAGATTAATTATGTTTTACGCAAAATGGGGAGAGGTATGGGCATAATTAAATTTTGTTGCAAATTTATACCACAATATTTACTTAAATGCCTTGTTCAATCATTAGTGCTTTCTTGTGTAGATCAAGCATCTGTTATTTGCTCCAGTACAAGTGAAAATAATTTGCATAAGCTACAAGTTGCACAAAATAAAGCTGCTCGTATTGTTTTAGGCTGCCCTTACAGAACGAATGTGGGAACCATGCATGAAAAACTTGCTTGGCTTGATGTGAAGAGTAGATTGAAGTATTTCGTGGTAACAACTGTGAGGAAAATAATAATTACAAAAACACCAAAAATGATACATAGCAAATTATTGTTTTTTTCAGATAATCATACTTATAATACACGACAGATAAATTAGATGAAATGTATTTTACCACGCAGTAGAACAAATCAAATTCAACAATCTTTTCACTATAAAGCTATGACTGCATGGAATGCATTGCCTAGATTTTTAATTTTCGAAAGTAATAACATTTCTTTTCATAAGAAACAGAAAATTTTTTTGTTTACACACTTAATTGTATAGTGACTATGAACTCTGCAACGAAGGATTGAAAATCTGTGTTTGAGGTCGAGTACTGGATATCGATGAACTATGACACGAAACAATGGACATGATGTCGCCATTCTGTTATATTTTATTTTCAATCTTTATTGGTGTGATTAACTCCTTTCCCGATATTAGTTTATATATGTAATTTTGTTCTAGATATGTGATTTCATCTTGAGCTACTGGTATTATGGGAATTAGGGATGTGTGTGCGTGAATGTGTGTGTGTTTGTCTGTAAAGGGTATTATCTCATGTAAACAACTGTATGAAAATGTATGAGACCCCAGGAAGAATAGCATCTGCACTTAGGCAGAAGCTAATGAGGATCTCAATAAAACGAAACAAAACGAAACTGGGGATCGAGAAGACAGAGCACACACACACACACGCACGCACGCACGCACACACACACACACACACACACACACAAAGACAAGTAATGTGTCTATAGTTATATTGTGATTTCTTAGTAAATATTCTATTTGGCGAGAGATAAACTTTATTGTATTTATCCTAGTGGATCTATAATTAAACGGATAAACTAATATTAGCACATCCAACGTCAAGGAAAGCAAAAAGTTATTATCAGGAGAGGAAGAATGTTTTAGTGGTTAGCAGCAATGTGCTAGAAGATAGCCCCCTCCATGAGGCCACCACAGCTCAGCAGAACATCATTGTAGCTTCTTCTGGGGAGAAAAACACTTACAGAGAAAATAAAGTTAACAGCTGAAATAGCAGAAAATAATACAGTTAAAGAGCAGACTGTAGAATAAAGCAGTAGAGTGTGAAAAGTGGTCAGTGTATCCTCCAGCAGTCTAAGCCTATAGCAGCATAACTACAGAGATAACTCTGGATAATCTATCCTATTTAGATGGAGGCATGTTGGAGTCAGGGCAAGGGAGAGCCGTCTTTACCGACTGTACACTCCACCTCCCTGTACTCCCCCACTTGTCCAGATTTAGGCTAACATCAGATTTTAACCATAGGCGCTATCAAATAAAAATGTTTTAAGCCTAGTCTTAAAAGTAGACAAAGTGTCTGCCTCACGGACTAAAGCTGGGAGCTGGATCCACAGGAGAGGAGCCTGATAACTAAAAGATCTGCCTCCCATCCTAATTTTAGATATTCTGGGAACCACCAGTAGACCTGCAGTCTGAGAGCGAAGTGCTCGGTTAGGAACGTATGGAACAATCAGATCACTGATGTATGATGGAGCTTGATTATTAAGAGCTTTGAATGTGAGAAGAAGGATCTTAAAATCTATTCTGAATTTAACAGGTAGCCAATGTAGGGAAGCTAAGACAGGAGAGATATGATCTCTCTTTTTAATTCTCATCAGAACTCTAGCTGCAGCATTTTGGACAAGCTGAAGACTTTTAACTACATTCTGTGGACTTCCTGAGAGTAATGAATTACAGTAATCCAGTCTTGATGTAGTAAATGCATGAACTAGTTTTTCAGCATCACTCCTGGAAAGGATGCTTCTAATCTTAGCAATATTCTGAAGGTGGAAAAAGGAAATCCTACAAACCTGTTTAACGTGGGATTTGAATGACATGTCCTGGTCAAAGATAACACCAAGGTTCCTTGCTTTGTTCTCGGAGATTAATGTAATGCCATTCAGGTCAGGTGATTGACTAAGCAATTTCCTTTTCTG